AAAAAAGTGGAGAAAAGAAAATAGAAAAGAAAGAAAAGTAAAGAAAAGAAATATATAAAAATAGTTTTCCCCTTCATCACAAGTAAAGATAATTATAATAAAATAACATCCTCTCTTAAAATAAATGATCTCTTCTTCCCATATCCCATCTCTTATTTATAAACAAATCCTCAAAGCCTTTTTTTCAGTCCTGATCAGCAAAAGTCAATTAAGGATTACCAAAGATAACAACATAACTATTTTAATATGATCAAATAAACCAACTTTATATTCCTTCCTTTTTTTACTTTTAATAATCTTGAGTCCTTTCAAATTAAGTTCTAGAACTAACAGTAATTTCTTTTCATTTTTTCCTTGTCCAGTCTCACAAAATTCTTCAGAGCTTTAATAGGCCTCATTTGTGAATTCAATATATAAAAATTCTCCAAGACATTCTCTTGGTTTGTTATTTGTATGCCCTTTTCATAGTTAAGACATCAGTCAGCTTCTTTTGTATGTCCAATATAGCATCTTTTTCCATATAATTCTTGTAGCCTGATAGTTTAAAAATCTGCTTTCATATCAGTTTTGTCAGATAGAAATTGTTCCTCTCTCATAATATGTTTGAAACAGTCTATTTATAGATTACAGCCATTTTCAAAAATATCCTTTAATATGTCCAATGTTGAAATGTATTGCTTCATTCTGTGTTAGCAAGTCAAATTTAAGTGTTCTTCTCCTTTATTTATAATCTTTAGTTCCTTCTAGACCTCTCTAGTTTATAATCTTCCAAGTCTCATCTTAATTTTTTTAACAGAATCCAAAATAAAAAACATTTTCTTGCTGGAATGATTCTTACGATTACTTCCAAAATCTTATTTTAAATTCATCTGGATCATTAGTCTATTTGTAATTTTCCAAAATCAAAGTTCAAATCACCCTTTTGCTATTTATTCTAAAAGAATTTTTTAAAGTCCTTAAACTTGTATTTAAAACTTTTTTTCACTGAGAATTGAAGAAAACTCATTAGGTGCTGTAAATCCAAAGGTTCCTAAGATGGTAGCTGAAAAACAGTTAAGAAGCAATATCCAAAAGTGATTAGAAAAGCGAGTATGCAATCCCAGTGGTTTTTTTGAAAGTGCCAACTGTGGATTCAGCAAGATGGTCATTCCCTGGTTTCCCAGAGTTTAAACCCACCAAAGATTGCTCTTTTACAATCTACTAGCAAGGAGCAACTGTACAATCTCAAGTCCTCTCTTTGTTCTCTTATCTGGTATTGAATAGGCTTTAATAGATTTTACAATACATATCTGTTACAAGCCAGTTGTACTAAAAATATAAAAGTTGACTGAAAGCAGACATGCAAAAAAAGTAGAATTTCAGTCAAAGGGGAGATAATTATAGAACTGTGTACAAAAGAACTCTATTCAATATATAAATTATGTAAAATATTGAACAAAATAACTTCTTACATTATTACATTTTAAACTCTTACATGTTATTTATTTATATGTAGTAAATATAATGATTCTCAATTCAGTGGACTTTGGATACAACTGACAAAATTTTTGTTCAGACTTTTTTCCCATTTATAACAATTATTGAATGATGCAAATGACATAAATTAACAAAAGTGACATAAATTTAGTTTTGATATAGTGGACTTAACAGAATCTCTCCACATATTAAAAAAGAGTTTTCATTGTGCTTGAAAACATGCACAATCTTGTGAAAGGGTAAAATAAGATCCAGTCTATATTTTTATAACTTATCTTAATATACATCACATAATACTCACATCAATGCAGAAATTACAACTGGGTACAAATGACATTTTGAAATTCTCCACTAAACATGTTAGCAGAGAAGGTAGGTAGATGATTTTTCTGAACATCTCCAAGGGAAGGAGGCATCCTTCAACAATTTCTTGATGGACAGACTCGCTCTTATCGGTGACAATATCAATAAGCGGAAAAGTCTAATGGCAGATGTTCTTTCATGATGCGTTGCTTTTAGGCTTAATTTAATTTTGGATAGACAGGGAAGCTATGGAGGGAGGATTGTGCAATGAAAGATAGGATATTTCTGACAAAATTTAAGGCAAATACACCACCTTCCAACCATAAGAATTTCTCTAAATTTCTCCTTGGAATTAATGTCTAAAACAAATTTTCTTTTGTCACATTGAATCAGAACTGGCAGAAAAAAAAGAGCACAGTAGGATAGGAACATCTGTAAATTGAGTTTGGGCCTTGATAAACCACGGCTAGTTAATGTATAGCAGTCTTCCCAAGCTGATCCAGCTTGGAGAAATGTAGCCACACAAACAACTGCCTGATGCCAGCTGGCTGGGAAATTAGAGAATTGCAGTCCTAGTACATTGTATATAAGGAGATAATCAGGATGGAATCACCAGTTCCTTCTCTGCCAAGAGCTGAATCCTGACCAGCACACATAGTAAGATAAAGGAAGAACCCCGCCTACGTCTATCATCTCTTTTTATTTTATGCATATTTTTTCCAATAGCTTCTGTAGGCCAGAATGGTTAATAGAACTACAACATCACAAAAATGTGGGCATGTTTACAGCTAGAGCTTTCACTCTTGAACTTCTGACTCCCATTGAGAATACGTGCTTCTTGGCACAAAGAAATCTCTATAGAAGAGAGACACTGTTTGTCCCCCTTCTTTAAGCTTGTGTGCTTCGTATTCAAATGGCTTCAGAATTCAACACCATTGCTGGAAGCGTTTCCCACCCCAGTAGAGCTGGGAATTGCCAGCCCATGCAGTGAACCAGAAAAGCCAAAGACCTCATAAATATAACTGGATGCAAATTCAGCTCTATTCTAACAGCCACCTTTTATTATAGAAAATTGTAACGTCCTCTGTTATTTTCTGCTTTGCTTGCAGAGGCAAAAAAATAGACAATAAAACTCCAGATAAATACATACAGCTCTGGGAAGTTGGAAAATAAATATTTAGAATAGAAAAATAATCTGCAAAAGTACACAGGGGGCTACATTAAAGTAGCTTTTTTATTATGTACAATAAGGCAATATATGAAATTGAATTAAACTAAGTTAGAGTGACACAGAAGTGGGCTAGTTTAAATCTCTCCCTTGTCCCAAATGTTGGAATTTGAAAATCACTTATTTTGACAAGGGAGATCTTTGGAATGAGCCTCAGCCAAAAAGGAATTCAAGAACCTAGCACACCAAAGCCATATAGGAGGCACAATTTCCTTCCCCTCCTCCCTACTTAGGTATATTTTAGTAGCTTAAAATGAGGTAAGTTTGTAAACATTTATAAAAATAGGACTCTTTTAAATAGGAAAAAAGCAGAGAAATAACAACACCCCCGTCATTTTTAGAGCTTCTAAAATGTGTTAACATACATAGCAGCATGTGACATAAATTTGCAAATTTTCATTAGCAGCATATCATAGAGCCTGCATGAATAACAACAGAATACAATCATGCAGCGTGTGATGGATGTTGGTTTTATGCCATGGAATTCAGGGATTTGTTTGGTTGTTAAGTGTCATATTTATTCTACTGAGGCAACAGGAAAGCATCCTGTTTTTGGCTGGCAAAAGAATGACCCAACTTGGGCATCAACAGCAATTTCCCTGCCCACTGCCATGGGCCTCCCAATACTCACATGCTTCCTTGAGATGGTTTAATGCTTCCACTGAGCACTTCATTGGGTAATGAAACGTCCGCAAGAAAACAACCTAATTCAGAGAACATCAAGGGCCTCTCATTTCAACTCTGAACTACGAATATTCTCCTCTTAAATATAAATGGCAGCTACTCAACCTTTTGTCATCAGTCATTTGTAATGCCATCCATCTTTTGCATCTGGTGGGAATAAAGGAGAGCAGGCAGGAGATGCCCCTCTCTCAAATGGTGAGGAGGAGGGACAGGTGTAGAAAAGAGACACCAGAAATTTGAGGGCGATACAATTCTGTGGCACTTGAAAGTGCAGGGCTCTTGTTTATTTCTTCTGCATGGTGTCAGGTGTCAAGGTTCAATAAATGAGAAGTAAAATGGTGGGTTGCATATGTAGTGTAGCCTTCACCCCAGGGTGCCTAATCGTCCCTTGTCCAGAAATTCTTGATACTTTGTCATTTCTGATAAGGCATGTCAGAAATAAATGCAATAGGTTGTAGTTTGAAATAAAATCATGACACATACTTTTCCTAAAGTCAGACTTCACCAAAACAACTCCCTTAATCACAGTCATCAATATGAATTTTTCTGTCTGTTCTTAATGACTGAATACAAAAAATAAAAAGATGTGAGCTACAGCTGAGCAATTTTGTGCCAAGAATGTTTTTGTTTTCCTTGCATCAACTGGGAATTTCAATTTGTTTAATGAAAGGCTGGCATAAAGTTATTTGGATCCAGGTAATCTAAACCACCGCTCTGTATTTTGCACATGTTGGGAACTGGGAGGCAATAGATCGTGTTTTTCTCTGCCCGGCTTTCCAGATTGGACTCCTTTGGGGGTTCCTGAAAAGAAGGCAAGGTCTCCATTTTGGCCTCTGGTAATAATACCAGAATATGATTAGCTACAACAGTTGAAACCTTGGAGTATTCTTTTGCATCTGAAGGCAGAGGACCCTTTTCAGTTTTGTCAAGGCTTTCTTTCTGCTTGGGTAGCACAGCCAACACTCCATCGCTGCTGACTTTGTGAATCTCTACATAATCCATTGGCTTTGTGGATGTAAAAGGCAACTGCTCTGGAGGAACTAACCAGAATGCCTCTTGATTATGCTGAGCATTTAGAGACAAATTGGCTCCATCTTCCAGTTGGGCTGTTTTTTCTTTACTAACAGTCTCAATGGGTTCCGGAGGTTGTGAACAGCACTTTCCTTCACTTCTCCCCAAAATGGGTGACCTTTTTACATTTGTGGCTTTGAGTACCCTTTTGCAGATCTCTATGGCATCATGAGAGAAAAACTTTGGACTGTGAGAGTGCCCAGGCTGGTCTCCAGGCCATGTAGATGACTTTAGGCTCTTAGTAATCAACTGTGGGAGACACTTTTCAGGGTCTTGTTTTAATGTTTCTGAGAGTTTTTTTCTATCACCGTTCCTTTGAACCTCATCAGAATCCGGTACCTCTGCTGCAGGGGGCAGTTTTCTGACTTCCTTATATTTCTCTTGCACTAGAGATGGACTCTCACAGCTTCCTCTTCCTGAATCGTAGTCTATTTCCTGGTGTGCTGGCTTTACATGTTTATTGGGGTGAGTTTTTCCATGATTTGGCACTAGCTGCTGATCTTCGCTGTCATCTATCTCCAAAAATTCTATGAGCAGATCATCAGAGTCTAAAGTTGGAGGAAAACCCTGACAATCAAGAGCACTCAGCAATTCTTCAGTTTTTCCTGCCTGGAGAAAGATGAAATGCACCCTGGATTACTATAAAAATGATATATTGCATAAAAATGAGCTGAACACATTTGGGCCTACAGCAGAGGAGATAACAGATCTTAAAGCGGGTTACATTTTATGAAGCAGAAAAGTGAACATGATTGTTGAGCTATGATAAGGACTCCAATTCAAAAAGTTTCTGGAGATAGGTTAAAGCTGTATTTAATCTTATGTAAAAATTTTTACATATAACAACTGCTATATGGGAAGTGCTCCAGCAGCTGCATCTGAAATTTTGGAGGGCCCTGAAGCTCTAGCTTTGCATCCCTCATATATAAATAGGCAGTAAACTGGCATAGAATATCAAATAAACACCAACAAATCTGTTTTATGAGTGTTATGAGTTATGAGGATCAGAATGAGGAAATAATTTATTTGAAAGAGATGTTCAGGACATGTGAGCACATGTGAAGTATTAAACTGTTAAAGCAGCTGCATCTTTTCTTAAATTTGTGGGAAGCTTCAGAAGTTGCTTCTAACTGTTTCCACAAGCAATTGCCTGCATAGCTGCATTGTTTCCCTGGGGAAAGTAGCTAACTTTTCATTTTAAAAGATGCTTGGTACACACCCCTGCACCTTCCAAGGCACCACTTTTCAAATATTTGTATAGTCCTATAACGCATCTTATATGTTCGTCTCTTGAAAATATACAGTGACTCAATATTGTAGTTACCAAGGAGACAGACTATTGCATTGTGACAAATATCTTTATCCAATATTGTATCAAAAATGAGATGTGGTAGGCGGAATTTAGACTGCAAGGACCAGATAAAGCTCCCTATTCTCATTCCATGTTCCCAATCCAGAATAGAACTTCTGTACCAGTTCTTCTTCAAAGTAAATCCCACTCAAAGGAAATGTGTGTGTACTGTATATATCAAAATAGAGATCTTGTTTGTTTTTAGTTCAGGCAAATTAGCAATTTACTTATTTATTAAATTTATATATCACCCATCTTACTGTCAGGTGACTCTGGGTGGCTTACCGTATCATAAAAGCCAAACTACAAAGGTTTAAATATTAAATATTAGCAAAAATTAGATAAGAACCAGAATAAAAAGGGGGTAGAAATGGGGTCTTTTCTTAATCCAATAACAGTCTCCAGAATGGAAAGCCCCTTTTGGGACCCCGGGCCAATGGGCAAAGCCAGGTTTTGAAAGCCCTTGTAAATGGGGGCTGATCTCAGTTTAAGGGGCATGATGTTCCAGAGGGAGGGAGCCACAGCAGACAAGGGTCTTCTCCTGGACCCTGCTAGCTGGAATTCCTTGGCTGTCGGGGCCCACAGCATGCCCCTTATGCCAGAGCGAGTGGGGCAGGCCAATCCCACTGGGGTGAGATGGTTCCTCAGTAACTTGGTCCCAAGCATTGAAGTAATAAACCACACCTTGAACTTGACCCAGAAGCAGACAGGCAACCATTACAGCTTGCACAATAGAGGTGTTACATGGGCTACTCTAGGGTCCCCAAGAACAGTCTGCGCAGATGCATTCTGTGTCAGCTGTAACTTCCAAATACTTTTCAAGGGTAGACCCATGTAGCATGCATTGCAGTAGTCCAAATGCGAGATGATCAAGCTATGAGTGATGAGCATAGGAACTCACAATCCAGGAAAGGATACAGCTGGGCAACATCATGAAGTTGTGCAAAGGTTCTCCTAGCGGAGAAGTTATCAAGAGCCATGGTGGTGCAGTGGTTAGAATGCAGTACTGCAGGCTAACTCACTGCTCACTGCCAGGAGTTCGATCCTGACCACCTCAAGGTTGACTCAGCCTTCCATCCTTCCGAGGTCGGTAAAATGAGGACCCAGATTGTTGGGGGCTATATGCTGACTCTAAATCACTTAGAGAGGGCTGTAAAGCACTGTTGAAGTGGTATATAAGTCTAAATGCTGTTGCTATCATAATAATAACAGCAGAAAAGTTATCCATTTGGAAGGCAAAATGTTTCTTGCTTGATGTTCTTTTTGGTCAAAGAACATGTGACCAAACTATAGCAAACATAAACAAGGCATGACCAAAGAAAGGATTTTCACATTCTGCTGGTGAAGATCCAAATTCTCCTTTAACAGCTCACCTGTAACAGTTGAGCATCCAAGCCTTTTATTTTTGGACCTGGAATTGGTGGTAGAAGGCGAGCTATCATCCTGAAATGCAAAAGGAAGACAGAAAAAAACAACAACTCTCTTTCACACATCTTAAAGTTACCAAAGTTGAGAAATCCTCCTCTAGACTTTCTGAAATAAGAAGTTTCAGAAGGGATAAATATCTTCCCTCAAGATATTAGGCTATTGGGCTCAAATAATAGTTTGACGAAATACTAAATGATTAAAAACTCCAGATTATCATTCAGTGGCAGTATAGGTATAAGCTGCCCGTGGAAGATCATCTTTATATAAAATGATCTCTGGCACCAAAATGATTAAAATTTCCTCTGCCTCCTGCTCTTCAAGTAACTGATTATTTCCTGTTAAATATGAACTATGGCAAAGAAGTCAGAACTGGAATTGGAGTGGACAGAGAGAAATTTCAAAGCTTTCTCTCCAGGTTACTGGTCTGTTAATAATCACATCAATTTTGTGCCAAGTGGGAAGTCTATATTGTGTCTTTCCATTCCTGCTGTTTAAATGTAAAAAAATGAGGTAGCATGGATGTATTTAAGGCATTCTTAAAGTCACATATCAGAGTTAACGTGCAAGATTTTGATGCACAAACCTGACAGTGAGTTTGTGTTTTGGGACAAAGGAATTATCTACAAAACATTAAGTCATACTTTGTTTAGCCATGAATTACTGAATAAACACAATTAATTGGATTTACACAACATGCTAAGTTAAAAACTCATGTTTACAAGTCATAATATGCCAGCTTCAAATCAAATCAATCATATCTTTATCCACCCCATTCTCAAATGCTTATAGTTTGGAAAGTATTCTTTAAGTCAGTGGTTCTCAACCTTTTCTTCACTATGGACCCCCTTTAAATATCTTTTATGGCCATAGACCTCCAAGACTTAGCTCAACATTTAAATCATAATATTTCTTCAAGACTTTGCAGACCCCCTGTGATGACATTGCCCCCCCCCCTGGGACCATGGACCACAGGTTGAGAATCACTGTTTTAAGTGAATGCAATGGTTTCAGATAGACAATAGCCTATAAGAGAGGAACAGTGGCCTTTTTCCTTCACTGCTAATTTAGATTTTATGGCAGGTTTGTTTTTGTGCATCTTACAACATCTACAGTTGTAGCTTACTTGGTTTTTTTCAAAGCCAGTATCCAGATCAAGATCAAACAAGCGGCAATTGATAAAAAAACCACAACGATCCAAACAACTATATCCTTTAGGCTGATATCTGAGAGAGAAAACAAGCTGGTTTAAATTACATGCAGTTGCATATATCTTTATTAATTTTTTTAGAGAAGGAATTTTATTTGCATAGTTTTATTAAATCTCCACAATAAGTTTGTGATGTGAAGCTAAATTATAGTGCCTGAATGAGTCAAGAATATCAAGTTGACTGAACCAAGCAATGCCAACAAATCTAGAGAACATCACAGTGGCCAACTACAGTGGCCTGTAAAGATCAATCTATCTTGAAATATAAATGAATGAATGAATGAACGAATGAAGAGACTTAACAGTGTGTGCAAATTGACTTCCAGTCTTGCGCAGTAGCGTAGCAGCCAAGGGATTTTGGGGCTCTGTGCCCTTTGGCTGAATTTCTTCCTGTTAGGGGACCCTAAATGGGCCAGAAGCCACCCCGAAGAGGTGCCAAAGAAGGAAGGAAGTCCCATGGACCATGGAGAGATGGCGGCCGACCTGATCGGTCCAGGAGAAGCCTTCCAGAAACCAACAGGAGAAAGGCTAGCCTAACTTCAGAGTCTAGCCCAAGCTACAAGCAACCGAAGTCAAAAAGCACTATTTTAAGCTGATTGCAAACAGCGCGTTTGAATCTGGATAAGATCATCGATTTTCTCTATCCTACTTATTAACTTTCCTGGAAAAAAAAATTCCCAAGAAGCAAAAAATCTTCGAACGTGAAGGAGGGGGATTTTTGCCCCACCCTTTTACTAATGGAAGCGGCGAATTAAACTTTTTTTGGAGGACCAAAACATACAGAAATGAAATGAATTTGGATAAGTTTGGAATTGTTGAATGGTTAAGATTCTCATTTTAAAGGCAATTTTCTATTTTGATAATTTGAAAAATAAACTGCTATTGACATCTAGTGTAGATAAAGACTATGACAGCTATGGCTTTTATACAGGACTTGGCAAAATCTGGAAAAATGTAATCTGTGGTTGTGACCTTCAAAGCTATAACAATAGAGAACAGCTGTGACAAAAAAAGAAAACAATTTGGGTTGCAGACAAAGAGAGGATTATAAACTTCAGGAAACCTTTTTGAACCTTTTTGGATTATAAATACCTACTAAACTGTGACTCTAAAGCTATTTGCAGAGAAAAGAAAACCTCGATTCTTGACCACTATGGAAAATCAGAGACTTGAAGAAAGAACTTATCAAGAAAAAATAAATACCTTTCAAGAGGAGATATATGAGATGCTGCAATTAATTCAAACAACAATGATTTCAAACCACAAAGAAATCCAAAATAATTTTGAAAACATAAACCAATTCATCTCCAATTTAACTTTACAACAAAAAAAAATCCCAGGAAATAACAATAGAGAAGGAGCAGATAAAACAGATAACTGAACACAAATTCGAGGATAGAGACTCGAAGATGGAACTTAACACAACAAAGAAATATGATTTAACCAAAGTGGAAATTTTTTTACAAGAAATATTGGTTTTGGAAAAGGCAACTTATACTTTAAGACCACAAGACAAATTTGAGGATAAGAAAAAAGACTGGTCAAATGGATTGCAGAGACGTCAGGAACACCACTAGAACTGGAGAGACAAAGATGATAAGAGATACAGAGAGAAAAAGAAAGAAAAAGATTTTCAATAAACATGAAAGAGCAAATGCCTCTTACAAAGATATTGTACTTAACTTATTTTTTATATCTACAGTGACACCTACAAGAATATGGAAAGATTCTTTGACTCAGCAGAATATATTGATTAAAGATATTGGGCAAAAGAAGAAGGCCAAAGTGAAAATTAAGAAAATAGATGATGGGACTTATCAGAGAGAATATTTAAAAAAGAAACACCTGTTTGAATATGGTTAAAGTAATAGAAAGATTTTGGATATGAATTTTACTTTAAGAGGGAGGAGTCCCTCAAATGACATAGTACTCTCTCTCTCTTCTCTTATTTCTTGATATGAGTCATATAAAAGAGTTACAATGGCTTATATATAAAGACATATTTTAGATATTTAAATGTGATTGATTTTAAGAAAATTACAATGAATTGAAAAAAATGTTTTGAATAAGAGTTAAAAGACCAGATGACTAGATTTATTAAATGGAATATTTAAAGATTAAATATATTCTTAATTATGGTAAAAAAGAATGGAAAATTTTTGAAATAAATATGTATTAGCTTAGGGGAAACATGGACTTTCAGTAGTATACTATCTTTTTATCCCTCTTTACTCTTGTTCTTTTTTTTCTCTTTTTTTAGTCTTATTTATTCCTTAAGTAAGGTAAAAGTTATGGGATGGTTTACATGAGAAAAAATAGAATCAAATATCTAAATGTAATTAATTTTGAGAAACTCTTAACCAGTAAGAATATCTTGAATATTGTGGGAAAAACAAATGTAAACAAGAACTGTAAACGGGATCTATGATGAGGCAACCAGAATGACTAGATAGAAAAGAAATATTATTTTGATGTGATTATTATTTGCAGAAATATTAGAAAAAAATCATATTCAATTGTTATCTATCAAAACAATAAGAATTGTATTAACTTAAGGTTGGTAAAAGAGAACATTATAGGAAGAAGAGGAAATCAAGTAAAGCTATTATGTAGATTATAGATCATAGAAATCAATTGTTAGCGAATGTTTTTTAAATGTAAACCTAGACAACACACTGTTTACTGAATATTAAGGTGACCATGTTAAAAAATTAATAAAATATATTATAAAAAAACCAGTGTGTGCAAATTGCTTTACAATAATCTTTATTTCACTTGCTAGCAAAAGATATGCAAATGTTCAAGATGACTTTAGAAAGGTTGAGGAATAGAAAATATAACTGCCAATATATGATAAAGCCAAATATCAAAAAGGAAGTCAGAAACTGCTTCATTAATTATACAAAGACCTTTGATTGTGTTGATCCTTCTGAAGCTATGGAAAGTTCTTGGAAAATGAGAATTTCAGAACATCTCATTGCCCTCACTGAGAAACTTATATACAGGTCAGGAAGTCACAATACAGACTGAACATGGTTAGACAGACTGGCTCCAGGTGGGCAAAAGCATGAGAAAAGGTTGTATACTCTGCCCTTGTTTATTCAACCTATTTGCTGAAGAGAGGAAGAAAAAACACCCAAGGAACTCCACCCATTCCTGTCCTCAGTATGCCCTCTGAACAAGAAACAAGGATGCCACCATACCCATGGCATTATAGAGAACGGCACTTTTTTATGGCAATATAGTTTTCTGCTAGCTCAAGAAGTGGACGATGGTATTTAATTTTGCTGTGGGGAAAAGCCTTAAGCTAAACTGAACTTGTTCTTGGCTTCATAAGCCTAATGCCAATACAAGGCCAGGCAAAGGTTTACCTCACCTTTTTGGAGTTTAATATAACTCTTAGGGCTCCAGTTGCTCCAGATACCATGATCTGACCTGCATCGAACCTGAGCAACGTATCTTTCTCCTGGATTCACACTGAACATCTTATAAGACGTCCTTTGCCCAACAAATATTTTCTGGAAATATAAGAATATACACGAAAGAGCTTCTATATAAAACATAGAAAAAGCTTCTTTTGTTAAAAAAAAATGCAACAACAAAGTACAAGTAGCCCTGGTTTAATGAGCACAATTGGGACTGGCAACTATGCTGTTAAACGAAGTGGTCACTAAGTGAAACGCCAACTGTGCTAAAGCTGTTTACTTCAGCTTTCCTTCCCTTTACAGACCTGCAAATGCGAGGTCAAAAAGTTACTTTTTCATCAGCCGTGTAACTGCAAATGGTAGCTAAACAAGGCAGTTGCTAAGTATGGTCTGCTTGTATGTTAGTTATTTTGACAAGCAAAATTAATGGAGAAGCTAGCAGGAGGTCGCAAACAGTGACCCTGTGAACTTGCACTTAATAATGGCATGGAGTCTGCTTAATGATGGAAACTGGAAGTGTCAAAATGTCTGTCACTAACCTGTGTGGTCATGTGGTATTGTGCTTTATCTCTTAGCTATAGAAATTCTGGCCCCAATTACTATTGTTTGTTTGCTGCCCATCTCACCACAATGATTAAGTAAGGACTATCTTTATTGTATGAATAGACTAGAAAAGTGCACAGTAAAAATACTCGTACACATGTATCAGAGCGTACTATTTTAGGATATACTATGAACTGCAGCAATTATTTGCATTACATATACAAGCATATTGATAAATAAGGAAGTATTTTAAATGCTTGCTCAATCCCAAAGTTCTGAAGACACACTGTTTTTATGGTTTATTATTCAATATATAGCGTGAAGTATGGCAATTATTAGTTGTTATATTGACAGTGGTTTTTTGTGACCTAAAAGCATGCAGAATGTTTGGCCACCAAGAATGAAAACACTTACTTCCCACTCTTGTCCTTCTTCAGGCTTTATGTGTAATTCATACTCCAGAGTTAGCCAGCCAGATTTGACATCACCCAGAGAAGGCGGATTCCAAGTCATCAACACATATTGTCCATATACTTTTTTCTCAAATTCTAGGGAAAGATTTTCTGGAGGATCTGGCTGAACTGAAAAAATGAAGGATCAGGGATTTACAATCCATGAATGAAAATGGAGGCATGCCTTGAACATTAAGACTTGAGCTTCCCTCTCTTCTATCCTATTGTGATAGAACATACAGGGAGCTTTTCTGGCTACTTGTATATTAACTTCTTAAAAAGAGAGAAAGAAATGCTTCTTGTTGTCTTATTGTCTCCTTTCACTCTTCCTGCTAGAGAAAGAAGTCTCCCATGGCTAATTACCAGCTTTCATTTAAAGAATCAGCAGATGCAAGATGACAGTGTCCATCAAGAGGCAGCAAAAGGAACTGCTTTCTGATCACTTTCTCTTTCCCCAAGCGAGGGACTTCACTTCTCTGTCACTTTTTGTTGCTGATGCAACTCAGCTCCAGTTGAATAATGGGTTCCCCAAAAGGAAGAAGTGAGAGGATAAAGAAATGCCAGCAATGCATTGATGAGCCAGGATGATGTGGTTGGTTGCAAGTCCAGACAGAGAATCTACTGCCCGCACAATGTGACTCGCCAGTGTGGATGTTGTCTTAACATCACTTAATGTCTATGGAGATTCTCACTCATCCGGGTCATGGTTGTCCCAAAGGTGCTTTTTCTTTTTTTTTCTTTTTCTCTTACCAATTTTATTTATAATACAATTAAAAGAAACATTGGATATAACGTGACATTCCAGTATATATATTATCAAATTATTTCACATTGTACAATCGGTTCTTCATCTCTGACTATACATCTAAATTTTATATACAATACTTAAATCTATTTCTCTATTTGCTAACCTAAAATTACATATATTTCTATCTTAACGCTAGCCTATAATCCCAACCGTCTTCCTCGAATCCCTCCAGCAGTAAAATTTATCCCAGGTTTCGAAATAAACTGATCTACATTTGTCTTTCAATACCATTGTGAGCCTGTCCATTTCCGCACATGATAATATTTTATAGATTGTTCCCTTATTGTATTTCTCTGTAGTTATTCCCAACAGGAAAAGTTCAGGTTTTAACTCTAAGTCCAACATTAATATATCTTTCAGCCATCTTTGTATCCTGTTCCAATACTCACAAGCCTTTGAGCATTCCCACCACATATGATAATATGATCCTATTCTCATCCAAGAAGCAAAATGTCTTTAAGGAAAAACAAAGAAAGTCCAGTTGCCTTTAAAAAAAGCACCATTGGGACTTAACATCACTTATTTTAATCGGTTAGATGCTTAACAAAGCTACCATTGGCTGACTGCTATTTATAGATGATGGTCGATATGGCAATGTGGGTGGATTCTCAGGCTCTTTTGAACATTCTGCCATCTTTCCCATTCAGAAGAATTTGTACTTCATACCTATATTTGCTACATCCACGTAATAAGGGTCTGCCACACTACTCCCCATCTCATTCATCGCCTTTAAAGTAAAATTATAGGTAGTCCACAGCGATGTGTGCTTTTTATTAAAGTAACAGGAGTTGGGCCCCGCTGTTGTGTAGTCCGGGCATTCGTAGTATTTTTTATCTCTGAAAAACACAAATAGAAAAAAAGGGAATCACATCAGTCAGAGTGCTGAGCTTATTGGCCTTGTTTACCAAATTAGTAAGTTGTCCTATGGGGAAAGCTAAGAGCCAACTTTTCTAGAGATGCAAAATTATGTAACAATCCATGTAGAGTAAGGGTGGAGAACGATGGCCCTTTTATGACTTGTGGACTTCAACTCCTAGAATTCCTGAGTCAGCCATAAAGTCAGTCATAAAGGGGCCACAGTTCCCCACCTCTAATTTAGAAAATGATTTATAATTTTTACCTTTCTCTCTTATAGAACAGTGTATAATTTCTTGGGAGACTTCCTTCAGAGCTTGGCTTCCACCAGCAAGTAAAGGTTTCTTTTTCGGGAGACCGACATCCTGTGAAGATTGGCTTCCCTGGAGGCTGGCCTGTAAAAAGGGCATCATATAGTTAGCCCTTGATTTACAACCATTCAATTAGCGGTCATTCAAAGGTACAACAGCACTGAAAAAAGTGACTTATGACCAACCCTCCCACTTATAACCATTGCAGCATTCCTACAGTAATGTGATCAGAATTTGGGCCCTTGGCAAGTGGTATGTACTTATGATAGTTGCAGAACCCAGGATCATGTGATCACCATTTGTGAGCTTCCCAATCAGCTCCCGACAAACAAAGTCAATGGAAGAAGCCAGATTTGCTCAAATGCCATGTGATTCATTTAACAAGAGCAGTGATTCTCTTAACAACTGTGGCAAAAGGGTTGTAAAATTGAGTACAACTCACTTAACAACCATCTTGCTTGGCAATGGAAATTCTTAGACCAATTGTAGTCATAAGTTGAAGACTATCCTGCATTAACACCAGAGTAATGATGCCTTGGGAATATGCAAGTCTTCTAACCTATTCTACCTTCTTGTGAAGATCAATGAAGTTTAAGGACAAGGACACACCCTTATATATGAAAAATTTAAGCTACTGGGCAGTTTAAAAAATTACAAGTAGTCCTCAACTTACAAGTTTGTTTAGTGACTGTTTGAAGTTACAATTGCACTAAAAAAATGACACAATCATTTTTCACACCTATGGCCGTTGTAGCATCCTCATGGTCACCTTTGGATACTTGACAACTGACTCACGTTAATGACGGTTACAGTGTCCCAGAGTCATGTGATCTCCTTTTGAGAACTTCTGACAAGCAAAGTCAATGGGAAAACCAGATTCATTTAACAACCGTGTGACTAATTTAACAACTGCAGTGATTCTCTTAATAAATGTGGCAAGAAAAGTCATAAAATGGGACAAAACTCACTTAATACATTTTTCATTTAACAACATAAATTTTGGGCTCAATTGTAGTGGTAAGTTGAGGATTACCTGTAGTTATTGGTGACTCTTTAATAATTTACCCAGAAAAGATTAATGTAAAGTATAAATTTTGCTCCTTTGCAGTTTTCAAAAACTACTTATAATTTCTATCTTACTGCCAGGCACTCCAACTATCTTCCCCATTAGATTCTTGCTATTTGATGGGCTCTCAGTTTTATTTCTAACAATACGTTTTTCATTTTTGTCTGCTTCTGCCTTGTTATCAAGTTAGATTCATTTATCAGTTTGCTTTCTTCTATGTTTTCTTTCTTCATTTGAGCAAGACTTCATTTGCATGTTAACTATGACAATATAATGTTGAATTTGTTGGTTCTTTTTAAAAACTGTGGAATAACTTTTATTGGAATCTCTGTTGGAATCATTTTAAAATAAACCTCACACCTCTTTTGAGTCTCCTTTTTAAGACAATAAACACATGTCTTGAATCCCTAGAGATTTGGATATAACATAGCTGTGATGTTTGGAAAATATGTTACAGAAAAACTGCCAGCAAATTCATCCCTCCTGCTTATATGAGAACTATTTGGTTTATACAAAGCTGCAGTGTAGCTTTTGTCTATGGAGATTCTCAGTCATCCAAATCATGGTTGTTCCAAAGGTGCTTTTTCAAAAGGCAACTGGACTTTCCTTTTTTTCCCCCTTGAAGACATTTCACTTCTCATCCAAGAAGCTTCTTCAATTCTGAAGAACTGAACTGAACTGAACAGAACTGAAGAAGCTTATTATTATTGTTGTTGTTGTTGTTGTTGTTGTTGTTGTTGTTATTATTATTATTATTATTATTATTATTATTATTACCAAAGAAAGTCCAGTTGCCTTTTGAAAAAGTATCTTCGGGACAGCAGTATAGCTTTTATTAAATAAACTTGCGTGCAATATAGAAATCTATTCTTAAATATTCTGTAATTTTTCAGCTCTATGTTTTTGTCAAATATTTGATTTTCCAAGACAAAACATTTCAAGAGACTGACTCACCATTATGGAAGTGGATGTATCTTTCTGGGCTCCACAAGCTCCTTTCACCACGATCTGTTACACAGCGAACCTGAGCAGTATATTTCATTCCTGGATGCAAGTGAGATATTTTATATTGCAACTGCTGTCCCACAAAGTAATCCTGCAAAGGGGCAAAGGTAATGGAAACTGAAAAATTTGGCATTTCCAAGTTGCAACCCAAATCATATCAGTACATCAAATATATAGGTAATTTGAACCTGTGTTATCTAGTCTAGGTTGACCTTCAAATGGATTGGATTATAAATCTGATCATCTCCTTCTAGCATGGCCAATAACCTTATTATCTGGCAGTGTGTACAGTTTCATGGAAAAAACAACATTGGGAAGAGATCGTCTATAGCAGGGGTAGTCAACCTTGGCTCTATTATGACTCGTGGACTTCAACTCCCAGAATTTCTGAGCCACCTTAGCTGGCTCAGGAATTCTGGGAGTTGAAGTCCACGAGTCATAAAAGAGCCAAGGTTGACTACCCCTGGTCTATAGCTTTAAATATTCTAATCTTTTAGATCAGAGTAAACAAATAAATGTATAAAGTATTTCCAGATATTTCCAGATATAAAATATTTCCAGATATAAAATATTTCCAGATACTGTCAGCCAGATAATCCTATGGTTTACTTTATGCAATTGCTTCTAAGCCTCTTTGTTTTGGCCATTCCAGGCGTTTTCCTAAGAAAAAAGGCTCATAACAAGAATCATATAATCAATTGCCGGTTTTGTTTGGTTTGATGCCACCAGTGACACAGACCCACTTTGAATCACTCCCGCCCTCTCATATCATAAATAAATACTCAAGATAAAACATTTCCAATACAGTCATAGTTAAAATATATATTTTTATGATTGTAACAGTCATGGTTTGTGTGTGTGTGTAATACTCATAGTTACCGTATTTATTGGCGTATAACACGCACTTTTCCCCCCTGAAAATAGGGGGCAAATGATGTGTGCGTGTTATACGCCGATATAAGCTCTCCGCCGCCCGGCCCCACCTTTAAGTTTTTTTCCTGAAATTTCCCTCTTAAAATGAAGGTGCGTGTTATACGTCTGTGCGTGTTATACGCCGATAAATACGGGTAAATATATATTTTAATAACAACAAAATCAATTAAAATCAAGACGCTTATAATATTACCCAGCAATGCAAGCTAGTAAAATAATTTAACCCCGAAATGGAAACAGACTTTAAAACGGGATTCAAGAATAAAGAGGCAAGCAATGTAATTAGCAGAAGGCATGAGTGCGATATTTTGAAACTTGGTTACAGTGGGCCAACTTCTCTCTTGTAAAGATGATGTTGGAGAGGAAAATCTTGAGGTTGGTGTGGCAAGAGTTGGTACATCCCAACGACTTTCTGCCTAACTGACTTGCTCTAACTGATGAAGCTGGTTGGATGAGCACCAAAACGTCTCAAACTAACAAAAAAATTAGTCCAGGCGCCATGATCCAACCTTCAGATACTCTTGCAAAGACATTCCTGCGCTGTGTTAGGCAGGAGAAAATCCAATGCCGACTCTTTTCTGAGGACCATCCAATATGATTTCTGGGATAAATCTTCGTATCCATCTCACAGCTCACACTGAATAATTGCTTTTTTTGGTCCTTGTTCAAGAAAAAAAGTTTCTCAATTTAATGCGCCTTCTGGTATTTTAATTGGAGAAATGTCTATTTACTTGGAATTCTCAGAAACATTTTTCATTTGTTTATTCTTCATCTAAGGGACTTGCTTCTTTATTGCTAGCATGATAATACCACAAGAGTTGTTCACTCACTTAAAATGGCTGCTCCATGAAAACCTTTACGTAAAAGATAATGAAGATGCTGGCCTCACATTCTATAGGCCTTCCTGAAGTGAAATATATTCACCCATACAATATGTTTTCTGTAGCCCTTTTTCATTTTGCTTAAGCATCAACCTACGCTTAGGAAATCTGTTTATATGTAGGGTGTTCACTGAGCAGGTAGATTCTACCTATAGTAATCTTGTATTAGTTACTATCTATTGGAGCTTTTTAAACAAGACAAGAATTGGAATTTTCTAAAAAAAAAAGCGCTCCTTGGGCTCGGCCGCTATCTATAGCTATTTTTGACAAAGGGTGCCGGAGTGATAGTGAGTGACTGCAGTCTTAGGACTCCATATAGCCTTGAGTTAAACTTATATAGCCCTTAATCTAATTGCATTAGCCTTCAGAAACAGATCATTTCACAAGCCAAAGACCAATATACTCTTCTGAACCTTACAAACAAATATTGGAAGAGAATATCTGTAGCTCTGCGTTGAACTGTGGACTCCTTGGTGCTCTCTAAGCTTGGTTGTTTGCTTGCAGACATTTCATTGCCACACTGAGTAATGTCCTCAGTGTTAGACGAGAGTGGGATTTGTTCTCTTATCTATATACAGTAGCTTGCCCTGTCAACGTTGGTGCTGACAATTTGCTTTCTCCTTGATAGTTCCTTGATTAGGCTTCGGATCAGTAAGATACTGCACACAGTACCAGACAATACTGTGCTTTATTCCTGAGGCATGATCCCTCTCCAGCTGCATCATGCTCTGGAAATGAATGAAATCCATGTTTCACTGAGAAGAGTTAGGCCACACTAAAGACGTATTAGTCCTCAGATGTCAGTGATGGAGGTCAGTTCCTGGAAGGCTGTCTGACAGTAAGCCAGATGATTTGTCCACCTAGCCAATATTGCTGGTCTGTTGATTAGTGTTGGGCCATAAGAGAGGCTGAGTGCAAAAGAATGGAGGCCTTTGAACTAAGGTGCTGGAGAAGACTCCTGCGAGTCCCCTGGATGGCAAGGCGATCAAACCGGTCAGTCCTAGAGGAGATCAACCCCGACTGCTCTTTAGAAGGCCAGATCCTGAAGTTGAAACTCAAGTACTTTGGCCACGTAATGAGAAGGAAGGACTCACTGGAGAAGAACCTAATGCTGGGAAATATTGAGGGCAATAGAAGAAAGGAACGACAAGAATGAGATGGCTGGATGGAGTCACTGAAGCAGTAGGCGTGAGCTTAAATGGACTCCGGAAGATGGTAGAGGACAGGAAGGCCTGGAGGAACGTTGTCCATGGGGTCGCGATGGGTCAGACACGACTTCGCAACTAACAACAGCAACATTGACTAGTGTGCTTTCTAAAGTTTCAGGTGATGCACTCTGTTCCCTGATTCCATTACCTTGAGAAGCTGGACTCTGAGCTCAGGCCTTCCGCGAGCCAATGATATATTCTGCCCTGCCCTGCAGCCCGGTCCTTCCTACCTACTTTATTTTTCTTGCATACAGTGTTCGAATTTAAAGATATATAAAGAATCAAGCTCTACTTTGTGGTTTAAGCACAATCTCTGAATTGGGGAAATTTATTTATGTATTAAATTTATAAGGACAGCTGACCTTTCTTTTTCTTTTTTCTTTGCTAACTTCACTAGCAAAGCTAGGCAAGTTTCTTACCTTCCATTCTTTTCCTTCTGCAGACTTCAGTCGCAATTCATAATTACATAGTGCTGAATCACTGATCCGTGGAGGTGCTGACCACTTTGTCCACACATACATTATTCCATTTACCATTTTGACTTCCAAAGAGAGATTCATGGGAGGCGTTGGCCTAACTATGCAAAAGAAAATTCACATGTGAGTATTTTCCTCCTTTTACGTTTCTCCATGTCAGCTTTTCTCCATGTCTGGGAATTAAGTCCAATCTGGAAGACACCCGGCTCCAATAGTTTCAAAACAAAAGATGTAAGGTACATAATGAGAAAGACTAGTAGTTTAGCTAAGCCAGTATTATCCATCTTTGCAGCATTTCATCTTGAGAATCTGGTTACCTGACAACTCTTTTAACTATGATATCAAGATTCAAATCGGGATCTTAAAACCCATGAAACTTATGCTTTCAACTGAGCCATCGATCTTGTGAATGAGATCATCTCAGCCTGATATTATTTTTCTTCTTGACTTTCAACAGAACTGATGACCAGTACTGCTGGCCTCCTCTATATACATTGAGATTAGTTTTGAGAAAATCATAATGTTGAAATATTATGCCATCTTCTCTCTTTCTAATTATAGAGCAAAATAAAAGATTGAGTTTCATTTGGCTTCTGCTCTTACCCATTTCTTTTACGTCCACATAATGGGGATGAGATAAATTACTTCCTGCATCATTGGTAGCTTTTACACTGATATTGTATGTTTGC